GTTTGTGATTTTCGTAACTAATAAGTAGCAGAGAGGAAGGACGTTTATCTTAAATGTCCTATCCTCTCACAGTAGATGAAATCCCCAGATGCTAGTAGTTTTAATCTTATTGTTGAGTCTGAGAACACAACTTCTAATGTATGCTGGTCGCTGTTTATATCTTTGACTTCGATTTTTTTTATTTTTAAAGGGTGTGAATAAAAAGGAAAATGGACTGCCTTGTGCAAAGTGTTCTCTTTTTATGCAGAGTCTCCACATTGTGACCTTTCAGTATGCATATAGTGAGGTCAGAGATTTATAACTCAGTGGTCCATGTTTCTGTAAGATTTGTATGGTGATGTGGTATGCTTAGTTACACTGTATCCTATATTCTTTTGTGGCTGTAGCAGATCGGATAGTTGTCAATATGGGGTAAATTACTTAATTTTGTTTTCTCATCTGGGAAGAAATAGGTTCGTTCACTCCAAGATCCTTCTCAATTGCTGTATCACTGAGCCAAGTCCCCTTCTCGGTCATCTTATAACTGTGCCTTTAGGGTTTTTTTCTCCAGGTGTTGAACTTTGCTCTTATCCCTATTTATTTACTTATTGTTTGTTTGTTTGTTTGTTTGTTTTATATGCTGCATTTCTCCCAAGAAGGGACCCAGAGCGTCTCACAACATTAAAATTCACACAATTAAAAAACATAAGTTAAATATTAAAAGATAAATTAAACATATGCTATAAAATTAAATTAAAAGATGAAAACATTAAAATATGGAAAGATTTAAATTATTTGCTGGAATGGGGTTCCAGGATTCAGTTGTAATTGTTAAAAGCCTGCCTGAAGAGATGAATCTTTAGCTTTTTTCGGAAGGATAATGATCTCCCAAGGGAGAGTGTTCCATAGCCTAGAAGCTACTAGAGAGAAGGCCCTCTCCCATGTCCACATCAGCTGTGCTTGTACTGGCAGTGGGACCCAGAGGAGGGTCTCCTCTGCTGATCTCAATCGCTGAGAAGGCACATATAGGGAGATTAGTCCATCAGGTAGCCTGGACCCAAACTGTATAAGGCTTTATAGGTAAAATTTCATTCTATCATTTTCAGCCCAGTACTCAACCCTATCAAGATCTTCTTGAATTTTGTTTCAGTCTTCCAGGGTATTAGCTATTCCACCCAAATTTATGTCATTTACAAATATTTTCTGAGTATCCTCATCCAAGTCATTAATAAAAAATGTTGAAGATGACTAGGCCCAGAACTGAGCCTAGTTGGGTCCCCACTGAGTATGAGAAGGAGCCATTAATAAGCACTCTCTGAGTATGATTTTTAACCAACTGTGTATTCACATGACAGTTGTTCTATCCAACCCACACCTAGTTAAATTGCTGATCAAGATATCGTGGGCACTTCGTCAAAAGCTTTGCTGAAGTTAACATGTGTTACATCTACAGCATTCCCACTGTAGACCATGAAAATTACGTGATGAAAAAATGAGAGAAGATTAGTGTGGCAGGATTTGTTCTTGACAAATCCATGTTGGCTTTTAGTTACTACTTCATTGTTTTCAAGGTACTTACAGAATGACTGCTTTATAATCTGCTCCAGAATTTTCCCTGGAATTGATATCAGAATGACTGGTATTTAGTTTGCAGGTTCCTCCTTTTTGTTCCTTTTTGAAGATAGGGACAATGTTAACCCTCCTCCAGTCACTCTGCACTTCACCCATCCATGATTTCAAAACAAAACAAACAAAAATGGATAATGGTTCTGACATCTCTTCAGCCATTTCCTTCAATATCCTTCATGATTTCAAAACAAACAAAAATGGATAGTGGTTCTGACATCTCTTCAGCCAGTTCCTTCAATATCCTTGGATACAGTTCATCCAGCCCTTGGGATTTGAACTCTCTCAAAGTAATAAAATAAATTGTTGTTTATCAATCTCAAACTGCAATCCTATCTCCTCCCTTTGTACTTCACATTTGCCTAGAGGGTCATAGATTGTCTTTTGAGAAAAGACAAAGCAAAAATAGGAATTGAGCACCTCTGCCTTCTCTTTGTCATCTTTTATCATTTCCCCATCGTCATTGAGTAGCTAAGCCACTGTTTCTTTTCTGTCTTTTGCTATGCATGTACCTGAACAATACTTTTTGTTCCTTTTAGCATCTCTTGCTATCATCAGCTCATTCTCAGCTTTTGCTTTCCTAATGTCATCCCCGCAATTCTTTGCTACTTGTCTGTCCTCTTCTTTTGTGGTGTGCCCTTCTTTCCAACACATATATCATATTAGAGATGGTCA